CACGGAGTCCAATAGTCGGTGGTCTTGTTTGATGGAGTTTTACAAACATGTGTGAGACCATTGTACATTGTGATGACCCAAGCATTGTGCCTATGAATTTTCGAGACTCTGATCTTCCACTTGCACTCTGGGTCATTTAACACAATTCACATATATGGTTTTCTGGCTGGACCTGCAATATAGAAATCAACATGGCATTTGATGGAATACTTTTTAATTACCAACGTAGCTTCATTTTTTCCTCTAAATTGCATCCCAATTGAAAATTCACCCGAATTTTCAAATGATTCGTGGCATGTCTGATCATTCAGGTGCCCTCATCGCATCATAATTTATATAGTACTGTGAGGGATAGGTTGATACGCTACCAAAACTTCATCCATGGCCAAATCAAGTGCAAACCACTGCGAAAATCGTCATTGTTGTCCAAAATGGGTTCCTCGGTTTCTTCAATCTTCACTGGAATCATCCTGTCTTTCTCCCCATATATTTTCAAAATCAACATCAATTCAATTTTGAATGATGTATGCTTCTCGATACTCTACTGTCGTCGATGTCCCACTGACTTCATTTCCCCTTTCTAATACATTCAATTTTATCGATGTCTCACTTCTGAATTCATTTCAAAAGAATTTCCAATCATATTTCTTGATGACCCAAGAAAATCTGATATGTTATTCACATCAACAAACATTCAATAACTGCAATATTTGTTGACTCATGTAATCCAATCATGGTTCCAATATCATCATCTTCTTCAATTGGTACTACAACCTATCTAACTAGATTGAGACATACCATAAATATGTATCTCAAACCATCAGCTGTAGCTTGAATTTTTCTTTCTATCCTATGTTTCATTTCTACAAATGTGATGTCCCTTTTGACATCATATTTATAGGTCTTTCAAATTGAAAAACATTATGACCTCATTTTCCATAATATGTTCATTATAATGGACAATCGTGAAAAAATTGTTGTTCATGCTCTCTACAAATTATAAAATTTTAATTTAGAATAAAATATACAAGTACATATATTATGATAAAAATTATTGATAGTAAAATACTTCAAACAAAAATCCTTTACTTACTTGATCGATCTTTTAACAACTTGGTTTAGACAAAAATGTTTTGATCACTCTTCCTCTGAATTGTTTCCTCTGTCAATTGTTGTCCCTTTCAGCTCCTACGTTTTTTTTTTCTATAACTCATTCCCAAACAATTGCTCATTTATTCATACATATATATAATTGAGATTTTGTTTTCTATATTAAAGTTGTATTATATCTAATATACAAGAATCAAATCTTATCAAAACAACTATATTCATGCTTCCCTAGTCTGCTCCCATGCCCTGGTCGTCTACTATATCCCTTGCCCTGATCAACTCTACTCCGATGCCTTGATCAGATAGGAAACACACTTCTTTTTTACGCTAATATAAAAATAAAAAAAAATTTTACCCTAATATTATATATATATAAAACTTTTATTATTATAATAAGTTTTACCCCTGATGAGTTTTTTCCAGCCATTTCATGGCAGTACCATCAATGTTGATATGGTTATATATAATATATATAAAAATTTTATTATTATAATAAATTTACCTTATGCTGATGGTCTTAGTTTTTCCTGTCGTTTCATGGCATTGTCATGAAAGAACCGCCAGGGTAATTAACGTGAAAGAGGGAGAAGAATTGAAGAAAAAAATTGAAAAGGTGAGAGACACTACAAACATGGTGTCTTCCTTGATCGCATGGATTGTTGTTCGACTTCCCTTGGTCGCATGAACCATAGAGCGTCTCCCTAGTACTGTAACAATCACCCTATTTCAATAAATAATCACACCTACATTTGTATTTCGGATTATAATATATATATATAAATTTTATTATATAAATTTTACCTTATGCTGATGGTCTTAGTTTTCCTGTCGTTTCATGGCATTGTCATGAAAGAACCGCCAGGGTAATTAACGTGAAAGAGGGAAGAATTGAAGAAAAAAATTGAAAAGGTGAGAGACACTACAAACATGGTGTCTTCCTTGATCGCATGGATTGTTGTTCGACTTCCCTTGGTCGCATGAACCATAGAGCGTCTCCCCTAGTACTGTAACAATCACCCTATTCAATAAATAATCACAACCTACATTGTATTTCGGATTATATAATATATAATATTATGCTCATATTAAATTTTAAAAAGCGACATAATATTATTTGTAAGAATAATCTATGAAAGCAACTCTAGACTGACATGAAGTGTGTTTTCAGTGATTGTTCATATAAATTAGTAGTTTTTTATATATTCGATTAAGTTTAAACATATTAAATTATATAATTTATTAAAATGTGAAAATTATTTTATAAGGGGAATTTATGGAAACGCCTCATGATTGACAATGAGTGTGTTTGTGAAGAATGTTCGTACAAAATAGCATCCTTTTATAAGCGGAATACTATTTTTTGTAAAATTAATGCAATATTATTTTTTAAGGGAATCCATAGAAAAGTCTCTTAACTTATAAAAAATATGTTTTCGAGAATTGTTCGTGCAAAACAATACCTTTCAATCCTTAAATGATTTTATTGTAATATAAGTACTAATATAATATTCTATGTATTCGTGTTGTATTCGTCACACTTGCTTAATTTGACATCATTTTGTGATTTAAATTCTTTTAGGACAATAGTTTCAATTTGGGGAATTGATAAGATAGTGTTCGGACTGAGAGAATGATAATCTATGTTAATTCTTCAAATTAATAAGACCATAATAGTGTATATTCGAATTTACAACTTTTGATATTTAGATGACTTATAATCGTTTAGGTACTAATTCTGGGCGTCATGGGGGAAGTTTTCCTCGCGTAATTGACTCTCAAACCCTTAAAATAAATTTATGGTTAATCACATGTCATTTTCATATTTTTAAAATGCTTTTTCTTAGAATTAATTTAAAAGATTTTTAAGTATTCGACCTAACTAACTTAAAGATCGATGATAACTCCAAATTTATTTATTTTTTTTCGAATCACTTCGATATAAAAAGTTTAAGGATCGTTCCTACACCGATGATTAATAAAAATATGGATAACCAAATGGGAAAAGTGTAAAGGCAGTAGGTGGATGGTGCAAAGCTTTTGTACCCTAATATTTGAGAAAGGACATGATGATTATCTTCAATATTCTGCCCCTTTAAGATAACTATAATATTGTCATTCCTTTCCTTTCCATAACTTGCCTTTGATCCTCTTCCATTTGTTTGTAGCTTACAATACCTTATGTTATATGGAGAGGGAACCCTCCACATGTTATCTATCTTTTTCTTCCTTTGGCTTTTTTAAATCAAAGACTATCATGATTTTTGTAATATGAAAATTGTTCCACGTCCCTGTATTCTTTGTATATTTAGAAATTAGTTTTCTTACTTTAATTTTATTGATTTAATCAGTTTATTTTTTAGATTTAAAAAAACCAATTATTGACTCGTTAAATTATTCTCCTACACTTGCTGATGCTACATTTTGAAACTGAAAAAAAAAACCTAGTTAGGAAGTCATGTAATAAAAAATAACGTTGTAATATCGTTTTTATGAAAACGAAAATAGTCTTTGTTCTCAAAATCAAACAGCCCGATTCCTGAAAATTCAGGTATAGGGACTAAGTTTAAAAGTACAAAAGTTACATGGACTTGAATTATATTTTAACTTTTTGTAAAAGTAAAAAGAATAATAGTATTCTTAGTTGAAGATAAGATGATCCAAGGAGATAATACGAAGGGTCCTTAGACAGTTTGACACATTTGTCTCTTTCTCTGTCTCTTATTCTTTAGAAACCTGTAAGGCTTAGCTTTTGACATCTGGAGTGCTAATCTTTAACAAGTATACTACAAGTTTATACAAAACGAAATTATAATATTATAATGATACGAAATTAGATCATTAAAAAACATATTTAAATTATAAAAAATTTCATAAATGCGTCCATTCTTTAACACCCTCTTGATTTCCTACTTTGACACGTGTGACCCCATCCAATATGTTATAAATATAATCCGGTTGTTGCAGAAACCAAGACAATCTGCAATACATTTCCTCCTATTCCTTATTACTTTCATCTTTGCTTTGCCAAAAATGTGGAGAAAAAAAGAAGAGAAGACGCTTCCATGGGGATGGGAACACCGATGCATGCATGATATGTTGTATCACGATTTAAATTACGATCGTGGTCGTGTTTTCGGAACGAACTTAAGATCGTAATTTAAATCATCGATGAAAGTGTATCATCGTCCTCTTCATGTTTCTCGTAGGGAATCTGAAGGGGGAACAGGCAAGTCAATGAGGCAAAGGGAAGGCCACGCCTTTCTTCCTGATTTTACTTTTCTCATGTTGTAATGGATCTAAATTCACTACTAGATTGAGATATAATGGACTTATTTCAACTTTGAATAAGTTAACGGATCTTTGATGATTACAAGATAGTATATGTCTATAATTTTTTTAATCATTATAACTGTATACATACCGATATAATGCAGACACAACTACTCAAATTATTAATATGTTATAATTTGATTATTTGACAATTTAATGATTGTGTTAGAATATATTAAATTATGATTATATGATAAAATAAATGTTTGTATGTTCCATGAATCTAAAGTTGATTTAATTTCTTGATTAGCTTGCTATGTTTATGGTATTTTCAATGCTAAGCCTGCATGTTTTAAAGATATCATGATAATTGTAAAAAAAATTCTCAGATCAGATCAAGGGTGTTACAAGATTTGAATTACATGTGTATCCAACATGTACTGCACATATTTTTTAGGGAAAAAAACCTTTATTTTTATTTGATAATGATAGGAACAAACAACTAGAAGACAACCAAATAAAGCCATCTATATAACTATTACACCTAAATCAATCACTCTTAGTACATACACACTGCACTTCATATCTGAAACCACAGCAGTGTCATCTTCTCCGGCAAAACTAGGGAAATTTATCGGCAACCAAAAGGTAGAATAGCCCCATAAGTATTTTTTCGGCAACCAAAGCAGTGTTGACATTCCCACAACATACCCGGATTCGTTTCCGGGTTCATTCCCTTACCGTATTTCGGTATCGAGGAGCATAAAACTCGGCCACCCCATGCAAAACAGGTTCATCTCGACATCCAAAGAAAACATCACATATACGTACATGTACATAATCGCATTTCATGCCTTCCTATAGAGAGAAGAACCGGAGCCTGCAGCATGTGGTGTGCAACACCATATATCACATAGCCGCCGAATGGCATGTCGAGACTAATCCTTTTGTTGTCGATGCATACATTTCTCGTCGATCCCGTGGCTCAACACGATTCAATGCCGTATTCAACCTGCATCCTAGATACTGATTAATTCCGAGAAAGAAAACAATTGCAGCAAATGAGCAAGTTGAACTATACCCTGCAATCGTGCTCTGCATTAGTCCCTGTAGAATTTCTGGGCCTCTTCCACATATCTGCACATCTAATATGTAAACTTTAACGGGCATGATTGAGCTATCCATGTCGATCCACTTGACGGTGTATCGAAGGTAAAGGGTTCTTTTGATGCCATTAAACCCTTCTTTCCTCCTACGTCGTGTGCCATAATAGCAACATAACAAGCCCCCTTTGTAGTTTGGACTCAAAGGTTGTCCGATTTCATCCCTCATAACATTGTAAAGATCACACTGGCATTCGGTGCATCCCATCGTATCTTCTGTGCCCTCGTATCGATTGCATGAACGTAATTGCCCACGTCTCGTCAAAACCGGAAGGAATATCAGCAGGATTATCGATTTCTCTTCGTAAGGGTCAGGAATACGAGTCGAAGTTCTTACAGTCTCGGAACCGAGACCGAGAACTGATCGAGTGCTCCATCGTTACATATCCCACTGTTTCTCCCCGAGATGTAATCCGAACTATTGAATCTCGAAACGTTGCGAGTTCCCAAACCTTGACGTACAAAGAACCTCACGACAAGCCAATGGTGCAGATAAGTGTCATAGAGTGGAACTGGATTCCCAGCCTCGTCAACAAGTTCGGCATTGAAACTTTCAGGCAGTATGACCTCTCGGAAATCGACTTCGAAATAGAATTTATTCGACACCGATCACGGTTGGAGGTCGATTTAAAGGGATAGAAAAACACCAGTCTTTACCCTCCCCAAGGCTTGTGAAAGTGGTAGAGTTGAAGTCACCAAAATTGCCACCAAAACTAACCATCCGAGATTGAAACTTTCCATTTTTCCTGTCAGTTCAACATATAATCCCTTATAAGCTAAATATTTCAATGGAATCAGCATATGTATATATATATATATGAATCGTACCTAAACGTTCAGAGGAGATTCGGCTAAGCTTGAACGTGATGCCCATAGTTTCAGTTCAATATATTGTTATCTGAGACACCGAGACATTACCGCCGATTTTGACTATATTTTTTTAAAAGGATAAATTATAAAAATAAAGAAATTATAACAAATGATTTTTTCAATAAAATTTCATATGTTATAGAGTGATTATCAAAATCTTTAAACGGTTATGAATAATCACTAATTTATCAAATTATTGTCATTAACATTATTAAACTATTACAAAATAGTCATAAACTCATCGGAATTATTAACTATTCTTAATGTTGTAGGCATCCTTTGTATAATTTTATAAGTTAAATGATTATTTTATAATATTTAAAAGTTTAATGACCACAAAGATTATTTAATATAGTTTAGTGCTCTATGATGTACTTTACCCTGAAAAAACACATGTTGAATAAAAAAATATGTAAAGGTCCCTATACTATTTGAAAACTTAAAATTTAGTCTCTATACCTTGTTTTTATGAAATTAAGGGTTAATTGATAAAAGAAACTAATGTAGGAACCCAAAAGAATTCGTTTACCTTTTGTTTATAGGTTATTTCCCCCTTCATTTCAAAAGTGGCTGCCAAGTTAACCTGATTAGCAAGGGAACAACATATAATATTCATGCTTAAAACAGGAAATGTCAAAAGCAGAGGACAAATGCCACTTGATGACAACGAATTTAACTTTTATTTCATTATAATTAATTAATAATTGACTCGACTAAACTATTTAAATGAAATCCATGTTTATCTTATCTATACAGACTTGTACGTTTATAAACTTAAATTATAACACAATCTAACGTTATAGATGGAACAAATTAAATTGTAAAAGATTATAAATTTTTTTAATTAAGGTAAGATTATTATAAAGCAGTAATTGTTCTAAATACTCTCAACCATTTGATAATGAATGCTCAATCACCCTTATTGTAGTTACTGTTGCTCGAACCTGAGACCTCTAAGAATAACAATCATTGTTTTAACTACTTAAGTAATTTAGTTTGTGCATAATGGTTTTTATAAGACTAGATTTGAATGAATCGTTTAATGTTGGATAGTGATAGTTATACAAAAAAAAATATTATATCGAATATGTATTATTTTTTAGGATAAACTATACGTTTAGTACCTAAATTAGTACTATTATCTGTCTCCATACCTAAATTTTTTTTTTTAAATCATATCTAACATTTAGTTTAGATTTCAACTTGATATCCTTCCGTTAAAAAATTAATGGAACTACCGACGTGATTTTTTTTAATTTTTTCAATGATGACGTAGCCTTATATTATGATGACACATCAACATCGCTGAAGTTTTTAATGACACAATACCAAAATAAAACCTAAACAAAACGTTAGGTATATTTTGAAAAAAAATAAAGTTTCAATACTAAAACAAACAAAAGTAATAATTTAAATATTGTAAGAACAATATTGATACCGGTACCGATACTCTCTTTGTGGTTTGGCAAATACAAATTCCAGTTGCCAATTTCGTACCGATACTACTCAAGATCGATACTCATGTTGGAGTACTGATATTCTCCTCTCACCAACAAATAGATTTTGTATTTAATGCGATATTACTAATACTCCAAGCCCAGTACGTTACTCAAGGTGTTTGGGCAGCATTTCTTGCTAGAAATTCCATCCCAACGGCTCTATTAACTCCAAAAACAACCCAAACAACTAGAATTCAATGAAAGAGTATAAAAAAGATTCCAAGTCATATGTGAAGACAAGAGATCATAGAGAAAGCCAAAGCAATCACAAAAAGTTAAAAATTTAAGTTAATATTCTTAAACATTCTTTTTACTTTCATGAACACTTCTGTACTTCTTTGTTTCATTCTTTAAGTGTTCTAGTTGTCCTGAATTGTGCAAACCATACCTTGTAAGGGTTTTTCAAATTTTTCTATTTGTTTTCTCTTAGGAACGGTTGTACAATTGAGACTTTAGGTATAAGTATATGTGTGTTGTAAGTTTACACCTTGTCTTAAAAAGTTTGAACAAATTAGTGAATTTTTTGAAATCCTTAGTGGGAAGCTAAGGTAGTGGATGTAGGCTTCATTGAAGAGTTGAACCACTCTAAATTGCTTGTGTCGAAATTTCCATTCTTTTGCAAAAACGCTTCCATCATTCTTTTAATTGTCAGTTAACCCCCTCTTGGCCTTTTCATTAGTTCGATTGACTCAACTTGTATTAGAGATAATCTCATTGGAAGACTTAACATCCTTTTTGATCCTTGAACTCTTCAATGACCACTGCATCTGCTTTCAAAATTTCGATGAGTCTCAATCCATATCAAAGCCTTTGTTTTTAATGGTGCAAATTATCTTATGGAAGAATAAAATGATGTTATTCATTCAATCCACTGATTATTTGGTGTGGGGATGTCATTATCAAAGGAGCATCAATTATTTACAAGAAGCAAGGAGAGCTTGTGTATTGAAGGTCAAGTCAGAATGGACCGATGAAGACCGAAGACTTGTTCAACTTAATGCAATGGACATGTACATCATTTTTGTGCATTAGTCCCTAATGAATATAGTATGGTGTCTTCTTGCTCAAATGAAAAAGATATTTGGGATAATCTTGAAGTCACAATGAGGGTACAAACTCAAGTAAGAAATCGAATATTCGAATTCCCACACTAATTATGAGAATTTCAAAAAAAGACCAAGAAGACATCAAAAATTATTTACAAGAAGCAAGGAGAGTTTGTATTGAAGGTCAAGTCAGAATGGACCAATGAAGACCGAAGACTTGTTCAACTTAATGCAATGGACATGCACATCATTTTTTGTGCATTAGTCCCCAATGAATATAGTAGGGTGTCTTCTTGCTCAAATGAAAAAGATATTTGGGATAATCTTGAAGTCACAATGAGGGTACAACTCAAGTAAAGAAATCGAATATTCGAATTCCCACACTCAATTATGAGAATTTCAAAATAAAGACTGATGAAGACATCAAAACCATGTCAGATCATTTTACCACCATCATCAATGATTTGAGGAACTTTGAGAAGGTCTATCCCAATGAAGAAGTTGTAAGAAAGATGCTTGCCTCATTGCCTTCATCTTGGAAAGGCAAGGCAACCACTATCGAAGAAGTCAAAGATTTCGAGTTGTACACCCTTGATGAGCTCATCGTGTAACATCCATAACTCATATACGCGAACCAATACGAATTATAGATGTCACAAAACATTTCTTTAATTGAGCTGAATAAAATTTTGTTTCATTTAAACATCTCTAGTTTCATAACTTGAACAATTATTATAAAATAATTATTCAGAGAAAAATTATAATATTAATATTTTGGTTACCAATTCAAAACCAGATTCAAGCAGTGATAGATAGTTAGTTCTGTTCTATTTTCATAAGAAAAATAAGATTGTCTAACACATTTGATTTAAAACCCAAATTAATTTTTGCTAAGTATAGTTTAACATCATAATATTTATTCATACTATTAATTATATTTAATACTAACTATATTAAGAAATTACAAACATTTCATTCTCATATACATGCCATCTAGAACTTTTAGAACACAGTAGGATGCCATCATTGTTACCTATAAATATTTCCTTGGTGATTGATGCCAAGCTCATCTCCTTACTCATTTTCTTCCCTTTTTCCTACGCGTGAAAACCATCACACGCTAAGTATACACTTAGTGAGGCAATCATATAAATATTCAAAGCAATGCAACATATAAATATAAATAAGTAATAATATTCAATGCAATGTGATCACTTTACCTGCATTCCAACCATGTTACTATAATTTAACATGAAATAACTGGATATAAAGTTTCTTACAAATATACTTGACATTTATCTCATAAGAGCGTAAGCTTATTTGCATGTTTATCATTTATTAACCAATAAACCATAGCCCAATTTAAACCATGAGGACCCTGGGTACATGAGTCAAATATATGCACCTAAGTGCTAACTTGAGTATGAAAAATAAGGTTGTTCCCACCATATGAACTAGTTATACTTTAGTGCAATCCCAAATATGCAGCTTGCTGCTGGACTTTATGGCATGTCAACTATACCATGTCCCTCAATGACTTACTTGGGCATATAGTCTATTTTTATTCATTCCATGGCAATATATATATTAATATATTTTAACCTTGGGCAGTTCATATCCGAAATAACAAATAAACATCATATATATTCATGATAAATATCATATATAATAAATAGTGATCAATGCATTTTATATTCAACCTTTGACATATTTAGAATATGTCAAATATATGATAAATGACATAAATATAATGTTAATATAAATAACGTAGACTTACACTCAAAGAAATATTATTCTGTATTAATCTACACACTAAAAAAATATTTCGTTTATACCAATGGAAACTAGACTCAAATAAAAATCTATCCATATAAGACACTCTTTATAATTCAATTTGTAAAATTTATGGTAAATTTTTAAAGTTGACCGAAAGAATCTGTTTTGAACAAAATCTGTTGCCCCTTTTTTGACCTATCCTCGGTTAAAAATTCATATCTTTTTGTATACACCTCGAAATCAATTTCTGTTTGTTCTAAACAAAAATAGACTGATATAAGAATCCAACGGTATAAAAATCATCCTCTAATCATTTTATAGAATTTTTGGTGATTTTCTAAACTTACTATCCAGAACATAAACTTCTAAGTAGGTTTAACCAATTTGC